TTTAAAAAAAATATGATTGAAGGGTTTTTTTTCCACCCCCTCAAATCCTGCACCAAGATTTCTGCCTCACTAATCCCCCCCTAGTACGAGCTCTGGATACATATATTCAATACTTTTTTCCCTGTATATCTAGGATGACATCCAGGATTTGTTAATTTAAAATGTGAAAAATCAGTGTTTGTATTTCCATTTTGCATATATAACCATGAAATTAGTATTTTTAATTTTTTTCAGCTTTTTATGAACCACTATATACCATACCACTAGGCCACAAAGCAAATTAGATAGTCTCTAACAAAGTAGACAGTTTAGATTAATGCTATAATCATGGATTTCACTTGGTTTTTGTGTAGTCTACATATTCATGTGAAAGCGTTTAGCAAAGCCACTAAGACATCTTAATATCTTTGTCAGTTTTCATTGTGAAATGTTTATAAAGTGCTTTGGAAAGCATGACTTGGTTATCTTAGAGGGGAAAAGGTGGCTTACAAGCAGAAAGTGTCTGGCTTTGCTCCTTGTCAGGTTTATAGGCTGTATGCTGAAGGACTTCTTTTCAACCAGAAAGAAATGTTCCATTATTTTGATGCACAGCTGAGAACACATACAGTACACGATATCATATTAACTTGTATTTCATGTATTTCTGAGATGAGTATGAATTGTTGATTTACCCGGATGCACTACTGTTTGAAGGAGTTTCTATGCTTTGGCTGGAAGTCATTTGGAGAAAGGAAAATCTCAAGTGATCATATGTCCCTGCCTGAGAGAATATTCATCCTTATCAAATTGCCTTGTGCTGTTTTCTCTATTTGGCATTCCTGCCAAAGACTGCACTGGCATTAAAAGGCAATTATTTCTCAGTCTTAGAACCCTACAAGATTTCCAGAGCCACAACACAAAGAGGCACACAAGGCTCACACCAGCCCTGTGCTTCCCAGTATGATTTCACAGCACAGACTGGGCTAATGTCGTAGCCTGCAGAATTCCTGGATCTTTGGCAAAAGGGTTTGCAATATCATGAAACACAATTAGTAGAGGTGGAAAATTTTACATCTCTACCTCTATTATTTAAGGTCTTTTTTTCAAAATTTCTTTAAATATATTACTATTTCAAAAAAGTTGTTGGTTTAAAAAATGAGATAGGGTCTCAGCTAAGTTGCTAAGTCTAGCTTCAAACTTGGGATCCTCCTGCCTCAGTCTCCCAAGTCACTGGAACTACAGGTATGTGCCACTATGCACAGCTAAATACTGATTGATTAAACTATTCGGTGAAGATGTTATACTTTATACTTTTTATTTATATAATCAGAACTTTACAATGAATTATTTATTAGAAGTCATCCAGCTAAATATTTTCATTTCCTAGAGAAAGGAAGTAAAGCATCAGAAAGATGAATGGCTTACTCAGTGGCTCATTTCTTCTTAGTGATAGAGCCTGCATTGGAGCTTAGATCTTCTGTCCATAACAACAAAGTTCACTAATGGACTTTTCACAACAGTTCAGTGGAAATTTCAATATAACATCATCTAAGAAAAGATAATTAAGATAGATTTCTTTTTCCTGCTATTTGAAATGGTAGGTGGTATGGACCTCCCCTGTTTGTCCTCCAAGTAAGTATATTATAACTCTCATCCCCAATGTGATATTTGGAGGTTGGATTTTGGCAAGCAAAGAGTGTTAAATTAGACTAGGAGAGTGAAGCCCTGTGACAGGATTAGTACCCTTAGAAGAAGACAACGGGATCAGAGCTTTTCCTGTCTGCCATGTCAGGGTGCAGTGACACCTAGCAGCCTGGGACTCAAGAGACTCCTCATCAAGAACTCCACCATGTTGGCAACCTGACTTTGGACTTCTAGCCTCCAGAACTATGACAAATAGATGTTTGTTGCTGAAGTTCCTAATCTTTTGCATTTTGTTTCAGCAGCCAAACTTGCTAAGAGAGTAGGAGATTTTTTTTGGTAAAAGAAGATGTGAGGATTTTAGGAAGGAATATGGTTCTTTCATACAAGGTTCCAACATCCACTTGGGATGAAGATATTTCTCCACTTGCTGTCATTATATCTTAGCTTCCTACCACTTCTAAGTAACCCATATGAACTAGTATGTGCATACACCAGCACCTGTGTATGTGTGCACACACATACATGTGCATACACACACATACACAAACACACACACATCATATTAACTTGTATTTCATGTTAATACTTGGACTTCTAGCCTCCAGAACTATAACAAATAATTTTTTCTTGTTCAAGTTCCTAATCTTTTGTGTTTTGTTTCAGCACCCTTTTATATCTTCTGCGAATTGTACTTTTCAGAGACAGTACCATCAAAATATTTATCTAGAATTAGGAAAATTTTCTATTAACCCAAACCAGTAAATATTCTTTTCACTCTATAAAGGGTTATTCCCACTAAAGAAATATGAAACATTGGAAATTAATCAGTTTCAATAAGTTTTAAGTCTTAATCACTAATTAAATTTGAAGTTAGTTGAGACTTCAGTTCCTCCAAGGACAAGTAATACATTTCCTTACATTTTTGTAATATAAAAAATAATTCTTGGGTTTTCCCCAAGATATACTGATTTATTCTAAATTTTAATTGCTATATTCTTGTTAGACAGAAAAATTTCAAATATTTTAAATTGCAATTTAAAGCTTAAAAAATTTATCTAATTTGCACGTTACCTGGCAATGTAGAATTTTTTAGGGAAACTTGATACTTAATTTAGTACAGGTATAATGTGATAAGGTCAAAATTTTTTGACTTGTGCAATGGGATAGAATATGGTCATGCATGCAGTCAAGGACTTGTTTCCATGGAATCACTGAATATCTAAAGTTTTGGAGCTTAGATGAGGGATATGAGATAGAATGATATTGAATTTATCAACGTCAAGAAGATGGTAGCTTACCCCAAAGCAGTGGACACAATAATGAAGGAGAACAGGCAGAAGAAGAAGAAAGGGGTGCAGAGGACTATGCCCAAATATCACAAGTGTTTAAGACATAGAGGTTGAGAAGACCATGGGGGAAATGCAATGCAAGAAATGGTGGTTTCAAAAGATTTTAAAGAAGCTATTTTAAAAAGAGAAGCAGATCAACAATTTCATATACCTAAGAGATGTGAATTAATATGAATTGAGATATGAACTGAAAAGTCTCCCACAGAGTTGAGAGCTAGGCAATCCTAGGAAGCTGTTTTGGAGCAATTTGAAGTAGTGGTAGAAGCAATACTGATATCCGTGAGCTAAGGGTGCACGAATCACATTCACACTGCACAGCAGGTATTCAGAATTTCAATAAGAGAATATGAGAATTTCAATAAGAGAATATGAGAAGTCCAGCCCAGCTTCTGGAGGAGGCTGGGGCAGAAGGATCACAAGTTCAAGGCCAGTCAGCAAATTAGCAAGGCCCTGTCCCTCCTTCCAAAACACACACACACACACACCAAAAAAAAAAAAATCTTTGGGGGATGTAACTCATTGGTAATACCAGTACCAAAATCATCTAAAATTTTAAAAAATTTTATCATCTAAAATTTTCTAAAACCAAAATCTTTTACTTTAATCAGTTTCTTCTCCTCTCTGTCAATAATATTTTAATTTTTGGGGGTTTCTAGCATTGATTTTTTTTTCTTTCTTTTCTTTTTTTTCCCCCCATAGCTTCCTTTTCTCACTTTGAGTCTACTCCTTCTGCATGACAACCCCATTCAGGAAGTTACCAGCCCCATGAATTTTTTCTTTCTCTATGTCTTACAATTCATTGTTCATTTCCCTTGTGCCATATTAGCATTACATCCTTGATCAATAAAAGTCCTCTGTCATTAGAAAAAGCCTTCTGCTTGATCTTAGCAATCTCCCTTCTTCTCCCAACATCTCCTGACAGATTATTAAAACAGTGCTTCAACTTGTCATTCCCTTTGCTAAAACTTTCATCATTTCTCCTGTGCTGACAGGAGAAAATTCAATCTCTTATCATAAGTTACAAAGCTCTTTATCATTGGCTTCAAACTACTTCTAACAAAAAATTATGCCCAACTAATATCAACCAGATCGACAATACCAACAACAAACAACTGTTCTTTTTATCTAAATCTCATTATATTTGTATTTCACTACTTTTTCATGTTTTTCCTCAATTTGGAAAGTAACCCCAGTCCTACCACTTATGTAAAACTGACCTTTCAATTAACATATTCTGAGAAGTCTACCTAGACTGTATTGAATCCATTTCCTCCCCCTAATTTAAACAGGATCTGTGCTAATTACCATGGATTTGGCAATACTACAACTTTTCTTTTTGTGTTCAGTGTTATGTGTTAAAGAGCCAGGTGTCTAAGTCAATTTTCTAAATTTAAAAACATGACTCAAACTTGTTTCAGAATCTCAACTCTGATAACTTTTTGAAGTTCCTATGTCTCAACTTTCTCATCTTTAAAATGACATGTAAAAATCAACGGGGAACACGTACATAGGTGCTAACCAAATATCTCTAAATGATGAATGCTCAATTCCTTTTTATTGTCACGTTCATTTTTTTACCTTTAATTAATTAATTAATTAATTAATTTATTTATTTATTTATATGTGGTGCTGAGGATCGAACACATAGCCTCCAACATGCTAGAGGAGCACTCTACCACTGAGCCACAACCGTAGCCCCATTTTTAATATTTTTATGCTAAATTTTCACTTTCTTCTCAAATGAAATTTGTTAACTTTCTGCAGATGCACAGAGCCCAACATCTAGCAAAGATAGAGAGTCAGAGATTTTACAACATATAGGCACAAGTCCCATGAAGTTCCTTGCCCCCAGCTACAGAGTTACAGAGCAGCCACCCTTCCACCAAGCCTGTTCTCACAGAGTCTACTTGAACCTGCAACTGCAGCTCAGTGGCTTTGTGCACCAGTAGGCCCCAGTTTATGCACATGGATTGTCTTCCACTTAGACATTTTCACACCAGATACAGCAGCAAACACCCATCAGAGTTATCACAAGTCCTCTGAGTGCCCAGGGCATTCTGTCAGGCCTTCAATAAACTTCCATCCTGCTTCAGCAGCAGCAGCACCAAGAAGTAGGACCATGTTGGCAGGAGTAACAACAGTGGAGTGGCTATAACAGAAGCAATAGAATAACAACAGCAGCAGCAACTGGTGGCTCTGCTCAGGTCCAGCCCTGATCCCAGAATCAGGGGATTTAGCAGATGCAGTGTCAGTAACAGCAATTCCAACAACAGCTCTCCAATACTCAGTAACAATCCAGTACCAACATATTTGTATGCTGCTGAGCCCCCGAAGGAACTGCTTGTGCACTGAATGCAGCTGCATGAAGCCTTTCCTTGTAATTCTCAATCATCTTTCCAGGCCAGCAGTAGCAGTGAGTGGGAACTTTAGCAGTTCTATTTTTATGAGATTTCAGCATTTCTATTATTATGAAACATTGTTTTGAATATTATTTCTAAAAAGACATCAGAGTTATTGTACCCAGTATACAGAACTTCTTTATTAAAAACAAACAAAAATAGCAAAAGAAATGCCAACAAAATAGTCATACCAACATATAACACAAATATTTAAATTTAAAAAATTTAAAAAAAAATTAGCAGTATTGATTGAATAGCTTTTGCATACAAAGCATGTTACCTTCAACACATGAGCTTTGGGGGGACATTCCAGATTAGAAACATAACACAAAATATAGCATTTAAAACATGAAAAGCTCATGCCTTGATTATGCACACAAATACTTACATATGCAATATATACTTAGTGCATAAATGTAAGCTTAATATTTCTAAAAATAAAGTTATGATATATCTTTAGCCACTAAAGGATACAGGAGCAAGACATTATGAGTGGGCATGTTTGCACACCTGCAGATCTAAGGGCTCTGTATGTGGCTGTGTGCCCCATGGAGTTAGAGAGGGAAGGATTCATGCGCAGTGAGTCAACTGTGTGGGCTAGCACTATTTAGACTTACTACTAAGCGCTTACAGAGGTAATACATGCCTAGGGTGTGAACTCACCTTGTCCTTCAACAGATAAAGGCATAACATTGCTATTCTGGATTTTCCTTTATCATCTTCCCAAAGAATGTCAATAGGAAATTAAAATATTAGTAATCCTTAACTTCTTTATTTCACCCCTACCCTCCTCATGCCCCATACCAACCACACATTTATTCAATAATCATTAAGTTGATTCCCAAGTTTATCTCTGGGATATCTGGGCAATCTGATTCTCTTCTTTATTCCCTTTGTGTCTCTCTTCTGATTAGACTGTGATAGACTTCAGCTTGTCTTCCCATGTCACAAAAGCCATCTACTCCCCCTTTCACACAGACTCCAAATTTATTTTTCAGACTCATTTTAGATGTTCAATGCATACTTGCAGAAAGAATAAAAAACTTGAATAAATTAAATGAATTATATTACCAGAAATATCTCTAGTTTATATGGACACTTTGTAAAAATTAGAAAAAAAAATCCCCTTCTTTAAAAAAGTAAATAAATACAAATAAACACACAAAAAATAATAAAATAAATTTAGAAAATCAATGTACAACATAATATTTTGCTGCTAGGCAGTGTTCCAGAGCCTGTAGGTCCACATGTGCCTGCACTTGACCACTTACAATGCCCTGCTCTCCCAAAATCACACAGGCCATGGAGAATGAGTGCACTCTGCCTGCGGTCCCTACTTGAACCATATCATCCTTGCAACATGCATAAAACCAAAGTGCCCTCAGGGATTCCTGGAGCACAATAGGGACAGGGAATAGCTGGGTTATTTTGATTTTGCCAATGAATCAATGGGTCCATGTTCTGAGCAGGTGCCTACAGACAAACATCCACAGAATTCTGAGGTCCTTATGCAGAGTCTGACCTGCACATCTGTCCCTAGACCAGGTTTTTAAGCTAACTGTCTATTTCTCTCCATCCAATGTCAGGATGACATCTAAATACTTTACAGCATCACTTGACAATTTGGTCCCTGAATACCGATAATACAATATGAGAAATAACAAAAGACATAAAACTACTTTACCAAAAATAGAGTGGTTGTGTAAAGACATGGGGGGGTAGAGAAAGCTTCAGGAAAAAAGGGGCCAGGCAGGCTGAAAAAAGGAAGGTAGACAGTGAGAGTAAAGGATGCTGAGCTCACCAATCAGAGAAAAATGCAGGGAAACGGGAAACTGGATTTATAGAATGAGATTATTTTCATTGAATAATTAGATGAAGGGAAAAGTAAAGGAAATGAATTGTGAAAAGTTGTCTAAATCCAAAGCTGTGAGTTCTAGTTTAATATTGTTGACTGTCATCTTGTAGGTGACAATGATTCTTAAGTGTTTCATGCAAGAGGAAAGAGGGGACCAAGAGTTGTACTCTGTAGATCAGGAGCAGAGCATTTGCCTAGCATGTGTGAAGCCCGGGTTCAATCCTCAGTACAACAGGGAGAAAAAAATTACGTTTCAGAGTTGCATCCTAGGAATATTTATCTAGTAGTGCTAAGTAACATGAATAGAACTATCCAAGAAGGGGTGCAATTTTTTTATACACCACATGTTTCTGCCCCTCAGTTTTCCTCAGGGGCATATTGTAAATCAGACAATAGCACCATCCCTTTATCCATCTACATAAATGAAGCAAATTATTTACCAATTTTTGGTATTTCTTTTTATGAACAAACTGTCTAAGGCATTACCTCACTTATGTCATTTACATTAGGTTTAAAGAAATTATTGTGTAATTTTTTTCAACAAGGACTCTCATATAGTAATTTCTATTATTATTACCAACATCCACTAGCATTTTTCTTATTATTCTATCCCTAAAATAAAGCTTAGGTCTATCCTCTCCCCTATTCCTACTACCAGGGTCTCAGCTGCAGTTCTCATCACCTTTCAGAAGCACTAGTACACTAGCCTCCCTGCCAGTTCTCTCAGGTCTGAACTTGAACTTTCAGTCCATCTTCCACACAAGAGTCTGAGGCCAAGATTGTGGTGGCATCCTCAATTTCTCTTTATCTTTCTCACTCCATGCCCTATGTGCAAAAGACTTCTTCTGATCCTATTTTCAAAGAACTTCTGGAATGGAATTCTCTCTCACCAGCTCCACCATCTGGTGATGGTCTGGGCCAGAACTACCTCCTCTCAGGAGAATTCCTTTGTAAGTTCCCAACTGACCTCCCTGCTTCAATCTTGGCTCCCATGCTCTATTTTCAACACATCATCCGGAAGAATCTTTTCAGAACATAAGTGGGATGATACTGTTATTTAGCACAGGGCAAAAACTCTCCTTTTCACTCACAGAAAAGACTTCAGTTCTTTCAATAGCCAATAACATCCTGATCACCCCCCACACACACACACACACACACACACACAATTTATTTTTCTCTCTTCCTTGCCTGTGTTCCACAGTCATCCGATAGAACCAGGCCTTCTCTCCACATGTATGCTGTCTTGCTCTCTGCTGGGAATATACCCATGTATCTCTATTTTATTTTCACCTTAAATGTGAATTTCAAACACCTTTAAAATTTCGACCTCCCTCAGCCTATAACAACTGACCACCCTCACCCTGTTGCCCATATCATCTAATGTACTGTGATTTTTATAAACTTATATTTAATGCTTTACCTCTTCTGTCTAGAATGTAAGGCCTACAAAACAAAGATTTTTGTTTTGTTGTTTGTTTAATGATGTATTGTAAACCTCTACAGTATTCCCTGACACAGTAATAAGCACTTGCTAAGTTGGTACATTAAATTAGATTTATTCTGTAAAATAACTTCAATAGGATTGAGATAGATTCTCTAGGGCATAGTGAATTCCTATGATAATTCAATCCAAGTAGCTTATTCAAGTTAGACATGAATTTTGGTGGCACTAACCTTAAACAGATAATTGGGCTCTGTGACAGTAAAGTATTCCCATTTGTAAAATGTTATAATCCTGTTATCCAAAGAGAGCTAATGTTGTGAAGATGCTAAAAGCATTAATAGAATAAAATGATTACATTCATATTTATTCAAAACTATTAGGTGTCATACACTCTTTGGGAATCCAGCTATGGAAAGGGAATAAGACTGAAGATTCCTACTCATGAAAGCTGAAGTGAGGGAAAAGATAGGCAACAGACAATTAAAGGAGCATGATAATTTCAGGAGATATAATCACTGTCCCAACGGAGAAAGAGCAATTAAGTAGTGAAACTATCTAGATAGTGTGATCAGGAGAAGAAAATTGATGTAAATCCTGAATGAGGAGTAGATGTCACCAGTGCAAATATCTTGAAAGAATCACAGGAAGAAAGGATGGGAAGAACACAAAGTACCTGAGAGTAGCTTGATCTATTTGAAGTGCTAGGAGAATGCCTGTGGCAGAAGCAGGGGACATGAAATGGGGTCAAGGAGGTCGGCCTTGGCATCTCTTTACTTTTGGATGATTGTTTTTTGCATTTAGGAAAAATACCAAGAAACTCTACAAAACACTTTATTTGGACAACTATATAACTTTAATAACACACTTGTAGCCACGATGAAGCTTAGGCATAATTACTGTTTTCTAGTTAAGGCTTTTATTTTTGACATATGTCTTTCCTCACTTCTGAAATAAAATGGGCTCTCTCAATTTTTTTTTTCTTAAGCTAAATTTACTTTTCTGAGGCTTAAAAGTTCTCCTTTATTTGATATTTTTTGCCCAGATGTAGTAAGAAAGCCAATCCTTTACTGTATATAACTTTTTCTGAGGTTTCAAAAGAAGGCATTATTCTCTTACACCCTCAAGATTTATTTGTAAAACTTCAACAAGGAAGGAAGGGAAACCACAGAAAATTTTGAAGCTAGAGATGAAAAGTAAACACAGTAGACATGTTGAAGCATGGTTAGCAAAGATGAGGCAGACTGTAGAAAAAGAACTAAGAATTCTCTTCAGACCTAGAAAGTTGTTGAAGTTTAGAACCCACAAACTGATAAATCAAGGAGGGAATGTTTCAGTTACTGGAAAATAAATATATTCCAAGATAAAACAAAAATTGTGAATTGATTTGGTCATTGAATAATGGAGCCTTTTTACATTTTGTTCTTTTAAAATATTTCTTGAAATTTACC